TGGGCCATACTTCTACGACTCTTAATAGCTTTAATTAGTTGAAATAATTATTTCATGTGGTTGCACGATGAAGTGCGCAACTTCTACTATCATGAATTAATTATATGAAGGGCTTAAGCAAGTAATGTGGCCCAACAACCAATCAAACAAATTGGCCCACCAAACCCGAGCTCTAACCCACCCAATGCTCATGCCCAATCATTGTCATTCATTTCTGACCCATCGCCAGCCTAATGCAACAACAATTATTTCTAGAGTGCTGAGCCTACCAACCACCGCCTCGTTCTTAAGAAAAAATTTTTAGTACGTAACGCAGCGGTGTATGTGTCAGGGAGGTTATTCAGAGGGTATTGTGAGGTTATATTCATGTTATACATCCTACAATATATATATATATATGCAAAAAATAAGAATTTTTTCATAAAATTTTTATAAGACAATTACATTCCACACAATTCTTGCTTATTTACATACTTCGCACACATAACACTCAAATCTTTAACATCATGTAAACAACTATACCAACTTCTTAAAGATCACAAAATATTTTTTTTTTTTTTTTTTTTTTTTTTTGCATAAATCTTCAAATGCTTATAGGGAAAGTTCAAAATAATTACATTGAGTTGGCTTAACCTAGGGTTCTAAATAAGCCAAGCTGACTTAAAAACGACACTTAACAAACTCATAAATCGAGCTTTTTGGGCCTTGAGCCTGAGCATAGATTCAAGCTCATTTATTATACGAGATCAAGCTCAAGCTTATAGCCCGTCTAGCTAATTTATATTATTTTTAGCACATAAATTTTTTAATGTAGATTTAACAAATTCTATGAGAACAACACCAAAACTGTGCATTCGAGCTAACCTTGTGTCAGACATAATTGCCACACGTTCAACCCGAACAATTACACCCCTAATATAACATGTATGCTTTAGCATTGGGGCCAAAAATATCAATATAATGACTTAATTCATGTTTCAATCTTATTAAAGTGCTATTTAGACCTATACAATGTTAATCATGAACAAAATATAGTTATAAATTAATTAACTAATTTAACTTAAAAAGAATAACCTATGAGTTAAAATTACGAAGGCAAGGCATTGTATTATGTTCTATATTTCCCTTGTGTTGTGAAGTAAATTGAGAGATTGTTTGGTTAAAATTATAGTCTGAAATGATGTAAAAACATAAATGATTAGATAGATGAATATAATAATAAAAATGATTACAATTATTATTATTATTATTATTATTATTATTATCTTAAACAAACAATGAATAACATATAATTAAATAAAATAACAAATTTATCAATTGCATAGAACTAAACTTCATGGAACCGATTAAATCAAAAGCCCTTGCAACTCTTTCTGTAGTTCTTCAAAGAAGCGAAGGAACTACCAAATGGATCCTAACTGAGTACTTGAGAGATCTTGTGTGGAGGATTGAATAATCTAAGGGAAGGGGGAATGTGTGGTTCTGACCCTTATTGATTATTTAATTGATGACTTGGTGCAATGTTGTTCATTTCAATGTTAGCTTCAATCCAATCAATTTTATTGGTTCTCATCAATTTTGCTTTTGTGATAAGAAATCGAAAGCAGAACTTCCCTTACCCACCTCGCGGTCTGTTCACCTATTAATCATATTTATATTTTTCTTAAGTTCATTACTAATCATTGTATTTAAGACATAAATATTACTTGGTTGATGTTGGATATCCCTTATAAATGGGGCATATGAAGCCATTTCCGAATATGAAATATCACATTCACGATTTTGAAAGATCTAGCGGTGTTTCTCAAGACGGGAAGGAAATATTTAATAAATAACACTCCTCCTTACGCAGCGTAATTAAAAAAATATTTGGAGTGTAGAAGGAAAAATGGGTCATACGACGTGATTTGTTGACACATCAAATTTTTGAAGTAGGTGCAGATTATAGTGACTACAATGACTCTCCGCAACTACATTCAATAACACATTCTCGAACTGATATATACTTCAGCATGACTGACAATGATAATTTATAGGTTTCGCCAGAAGCATTTGAATATCACATAGAACAATTTATACCACAACCAGAAGCATAATCACAGAAAGTTTACACCAAGAATGACGAAGGTGCCGGAGAAATGATTGAATTGAGAGAGTGAATTACATAAGTCATTGTTGGATGTTGATTGGACGAATCTTGTTTATTTTTATATAGTTCATGCTTATTTTTTGTTCATTGTATATTTTATATTGTTTGTTCGAGTTTTTTAATTATTTGTTATTGGGGTTTTTTTTTTTCTTTTTTTTCCCATGTTTTTCTTTTTCTTTTGATGGATTTGTGAGGTCCATGATGAACCGTTTGATAATGCGGGCTTTTCTAAATGGTTTGTTAGTTGTTGTTGATTGGTGTCATATGTGAAATCCTAATGAAGGTAGCTAAGTTATTATCCTCTTTTCGATGTTGTGGTTTTTGAGATTCTTCTGAATGACATTTTTTTGGTGATATGCATTTGTGAAACACATGAGTTTGGTATTAGATATGTTAAAAGCAACCAAGAAACCCTATTTTATAAGGTTTGCTGTCTTCTTGTAGTGATAAATTCATTGGTTGACATACTGAGTCCTCTAAGACCTCACGCATGTACAAAACTGTACATTATTATTATTTTTATTGATTTATACTTGTGTTATGACTAATGGTTGTTTTTTTGAAGCATTTAGAAAATATAAGCTCTATGATTTCAGGGACCTGCTGAGGATTGCTATGCTATTGTAGACACATGCTGACGTCACGTCAACCATATAGCTACGGGAGACAGGTCTACAAGTGCCCGCAAAGAATCACTAAGAACTGTGACTTTTTCCGATGGGCATATATGCTCGAAGATTTAACCACCGAGAGTGATCGGGTGTGCAGAGTATCTTTGGAGTACAATCTAACTACTGACATACGTCGTCTCCATTTTAAAAATAATATTATCATATTATAAATATTTTTTAATTGTCCTTTTTATTTTAATAATTATGATACTCACTCTTAAGTGTGGAGTATATCTTATTTCTTTTATAAAGTTATTTTTTGCTTCTCAAGTATCAAATATATTGCAATAACAGTTTTGTTGAAAACAACATTGCTGCATAGGGGCAGACAATTATTTGCCTAGAAACAACTGCAAAATAGTTATTTTCAAACTTCACAAAATAAACAACCAGACAGCTTATCCGCAACAGCTTATGTTAATAAACTACAACAACTCAACCAAACTCTTAATCTTGTAAAATATTTATGAGTCGTTTGTTTTGCTGAAAATAAAACTCAATGTAAAAGGTAAAATAACAACAATAACAAACTTTTATCCCATTAAGTGGGGTCGGTTACGTAAATCCATTTTTTCATTGTGTTCTATTGAGTGTTGTATTTTCATTTAATTATAATAATTAAGTTCATTTTTTATACAATATGCTCAAGTCTTTCCAGGTCTACCTTTGCCTTTGTAACATAGGTCAATTCTAAAACATCTAGTCTCCTAATCCGATCATCAGATGACAACGTTTAATGTGACCAAATCATCTAAGACAACTCTCTCTAATTTTGTCCGACACTGAAGTTACACCAACCCTATCACAGATATATTCATTTGTATTTTGTTTCTAAGTGTAAAGCAACTCATCCACCTTAACATTCTCATCTCGACAACACTTAGCTTTGTTTTATGCATCTCTTTTAAAGGCCAACATTCATCGTCATAGGGCAATGTATGTCTCACCACCATCTTATAAAATTTTCCTTTCAGTCTGAGTAGTACTTTTCTATCACACAATATGCCCAAAGCATTCCTACAATTCAACAAACCAACTTGAATTATGTTTATAATATATTTGAAATATTTTTGAGTTGTTTAATTCTTTGAAAAATAAATGCAGGACTTTACATACATTTTTATTTGGTTTAAGGTAGAATAAAAACAATATGTTTACTTGGGTCAAAGGCAATGGCAGCGGCGACGGAATTGGGCTATGGACTGAAACAACGACAACAGTGGCTGCGGTGGGTGGCAACAACGAGCAGCGGTGGCGGGCTGTGGTGAGTGGCAGAGTCAGGTGTTGGCAGCATTAGGGGCGACGAATGACAGTTGTGGACAACAGGACAGGCTAATGACTGCGTGTGACTGTGGGTGGCAGTGGCAAGCGGCGCCGTCGGACAGCAGTGAACAAATAACAGATGGAGGCCAGTGGCGGGCGATAAAGAAGGCGGCGTGTGGCAAAAGAGGTGGCGGGCGATGACAGAGGAGAGCTACAGGTGGCGACGACAGCAACGAGCGACAACGACAATGGGCAACGGGCAACATCAACAATGAACGACAGACGACTGTGAATTCGAGGGGCGGGCGGTAGCAGTTGCTAGTGCCATGCGACAGAGGCAGTTGCCGATAATGGGCAACGAATGGCGGTGGCCTGACGCGACGGCTACGACTGCGACAACAATGGTGTGCAGCGGCCATTGATGGCGGTGTTCAGCGATGGAGGCGGCTAAGTGCGGCTGTGACAAGCCTATAACATTCTACATGAATGATGAATTTCAATTTTGCTAAATTCTAAATGCAACCAATATGAACTACAACATAAACTTTAAATTTCATATCAAAGACATAATTTTCTCAAATCCCTGCAAAAAAATTACAATACACCATTAATTCACTCAATCAAACAACCCCTTAGGAAGAGCGAATTTAGAGATGTTAATCTGACTTCCTAAATAGCATGAAGTTTAGGTGTTAGATATATAGATAGAGGCTTATGTTGTCTTCATTCAAGAAAATAATATCTCTGGAGTACTTGTAACATGAGTGCACCTTTGATTTTTCTTCGTACAATTATGATGTACTAAATAAAAAATATTCAAATAAATATTTCAACGTGAAAGTCATAGATTAAATATGATTGTATTGAAAAAAATCAGAAGTATAATCATGTCCCACTTCATGATCATGTTGGATTTCAGGCTTCTCTCGGCATCACCGTTGAAATATTTCATGGAAAACCACGGGACAAGGATCCTTCAAAATTCAGGCAGCCCCTCGTTGCGGCCTCTTCTCCTTGTCGCCAGCTATAGATTTTTTTCCTGAAGCTGCATCTTTTCGATATCTATAGCTGCTGCTGTTGGCTCTCTGTATTCACTACCGGTGTCTTTCCTCGTCACTGTTGCAGCCATTGCGCGCTCTCTCTGTTTTCGTCCCCGTTGCTGTTCTCTTGGTCGCCTGCGCCGCCACCTCACCTTTTCATTGTTGCCGCCACCTCCTCTAAACTTCATTTCGGCCACCAAGAAGCCTACTTCCTCTAAACTCTGATCGTCCACTCATTCATTCCATGCGAGATGTTGCCCTAAACCTAGCTCAACACATGGAAAACTCCCTTCCTTCTTCTTTTTCCAGTTAACCATCACCACTGTTCCATGGCCACAAGCTTAATCGGGGCAATCCTTCGCAGAAGGAGTAATGGAGCTTTCCTCTTTCATTTCCGAATGCCAACAAAATCTGACTTGTTTGGCCACCCAATTGGAATTCTCCCGCTCCCCCAATTCCTTTTGCCCAAATCCACTTCAAGGAAGCTCATCAGCAGAACTCTTTGTTCAGATTTCTCTCTCGCATTTGCGCCGTTTCTATGCTGCCAATCCTCTTTTTTCTGCACTGTCGCAGAATGCGATGTAAAGTCGAAGCTCATCAGCAGAACTCTTTGTTCAGATTTCTCTTTCGCATTTGCGCCGTTTCTATGCCGCCAATCCTCTTCTTTCTGCACTGTCGCAGAATGCGATGTAAAGTCGGGGATCGCTTCCTCTAATGGTTTAGCAACCAAGTCCAACAAGAAAAAAGCTAGGATGAAATCGAAGGTGGACTTCACAAAAATTGATCCTTCACTTCTCCCAACTGTGATTATCGTTGGCCGGCCCAACGTTGGAAAGTCTGCGCTTTTCAACCGGTAATCTACTATTTTGGGTTTGGAATAATAGATACCTCGACAATGGATGCATTTGATCTCCAGATTTCTGTTCTTTTGATTGGATTTTTTGTCATTTCAGATTAATTCGGAGGAGGGAAGCACTCGTGTACAATACACCTGACGACCACGTTACTCGGGACATCAGGGAGGGAATTGCCAAGTTGGGGGATTTGAGGTTTAAGGTCTTGGATTCCGCAGGGTTGGAGACGGAAGCCACTTCGGGTACTATTCTCAGCAGAACAACAGAGATGACTGGAATGGTCTTGGCGAGGACCCAAGTTGCCATTTTGCTGATTGATGTGAGGTTGTTTGTTTGCTTTATGAATTCTAGGATGACAATAGCTTACTGACTTGCTTACTTGTGCTGTGTTCGGAACTTTGGTAGGGATGGACTTCAACCGCTTGATCTTGAAGTGGGGAAGTGGATGCGGAAGCATGCATCCAATGTCCATACTATTGTGGCCATGAATAAGTCGGAATCACTTGATGTACGAGGGTTTGTTACAGTAGCCGCTGGGGAAGCTCATAGCTTGGGGTTTGGTGATCCCATTGCAATATCTGCAGAGACTGGGCTGGGAATGCCAGAACTGTATGAGATCCTTCGACCGTTGTTGGAAGCCCATGCACTTCAGCTTCCTAATGGTATGGTATGCCATCTTGGGATTGAATTTGTTACCTGGTTTAATTAATCATTAAAAGCTTACAACCTAAGTGCCAATTTATGCCATTCTACACAGGTATTAATTTCTCATTTATATGTATGTTGATGTTACTTCTTGTTATTTGGTGACAACCATTTGGTTAATATAGATGCTATTTAGTTTCAAATGCTTAAACCATTAAAATTATGCAAGAAGACCAATAATTATATTCTTGCGGAAAATTATTATGCTCATATAGCAATATCATGTGAAGTGTTATGAAAGAGTTTCAAACTGAGGCGTCTTAGCATGTACTTTTTGTACGTGAAAATCTTAATATGGCTGACCCATTTGATAACGAGTAGAAAGTTAAGCCGTGAAACAATATTTGGAAGATACATGATTTAGAATTAATCTAGGTGGCTTTTACAAATTTCTAAAAGTCTTAAATGAATCTTTAAAATATTCTAAAAGAATCTGAGAACACTCCAAAAATTCTAAAGAAACTTCTAGATGACCTAAATATTTTATCGAAAGATGATCTAAAGGAAACTTCTAGAATTTTTCTTTTTAGATTGCAAATTCTTAAGTAGTTCATCTCTATCTACTTGAAAACTTATTAGTTTTTTTTAATTTTTATTTTTTGTATTTATCATTAGATCACACTAAATTTGAAAATTATGGGCCTGTTTGGGGCAGTTTATTTGGTACGGTGGTGTTTTGAAAACGCAACTGACCTGTTTGGGTAAACTTCGTTTTGACAGCTTATGCGTTTTCAAAACGCAGAAAACATCGTTTTCACACCGCACCTATCTAGGTGCAGAGCTTATTGAGGTTTGGCTTTTCCAAAAAAATAAAAATTTCTAATAGCCACCGCATCTAGCTTATCAGCAGATTATTTTTAATCAACTTATCAACAGATTATTCAATAAGCTACAACTGCCCCAAACAGACTTATATATGATTGATATACAAGTTCTTGAACTTTGGAGAAAAAAACTAAACAATCATTCAAAATTTAACATTCAACTTAAGAATTTACATGAATAGTAAACATTACTCATAAACACATAGCTTTACAAACTTATTTCGTACTTATATTGGAGAAAACATAAATCAGAAATTGCAAAATTCTCCTTTTCCTGTGCCTTCCTTAGTCTCTCTAGTTCTCTACTTTATTTTTTTCTCTCCCTCAATTTTCTTTTTTTTTTTAAATCTGAAATTACCTCTTTTTATTCTTTTGCATAATTATTAAAAAAAGGCCAAACTCCTTCGATTACGGGATGATAACTTTTTCAAACTTGAATGAGTTTGGATCGAGCACCTTGGCATTGCGATCGCAGTGCTATGGCACTTTTCTATCTAACTTTTAAATTGGGTATAGTGTCTAGAGCTTTGGCTAAGTGTCTCAGTGCCACTACAGTGTTTCTGGACTGGGTGTATGACGCTACAAAATATATGTTGCAATGCTACGATCTTTATTAATTCTGAATTTTTAATACTGCTGGGTAGCTGCCACTGCAGTGCTATAGGTTGAAACTTGGAATCCACTCATTTTTTGTTATAACATAATTTGCTCAGTGTTTTATTTGATTTTTTGTTTCATTTGCACCATTATTTATGCCTCAGCTATCCGCATGTGAAAATTTCATAAATTTTTCATTGGATTTATTCATTTTTACTTGAAAATAAGTTAAATTAATAGGATATTTTACAAGTAAAACTCATTAATCACTAAATTTTCATATCTGAAAAATCTATGGCAGTAATGAGTAAGGGACAATGCAAGAAAGTGTGAATAAAAATTGAGGAAGAAGAAGCCAAAATGGACTTTTGCAAGAGCTGAACTATCAATGCTTTTGTGATTTGGGTGGAACTATATGCTCCGTCCAACCAATTGCTAGTTTTTCACTGTGCTTGCTAAGTTTCTTTTTTATTCCCAGAAGTTTGCTTTTTCCACTTTTGGTTGACTTATGTTTGCACGTCTATTTTCTTTGCTTTTAAATCCTAGTTCTATTCAAACCTCAACAAAGAAATGACACTCAATAGGGCACAATAGAGAAAAAGGATTCATGCGGCCTACCTCACTTCATGGGATAAATGCTTGTTGCTGTTATTGTTATTCTTTGTGTAGTATATTGAGATGATTTGTTTGGAGTCCTCTCTTAAACTTAAAAGAGATGAGAAAGGAAAAGAGTCGGCTCTCCTATTCCCTTTCTCTGACGATATTTGTAAATGGTGTAGTAGGTTTGTATATTTGTTGAGAAAACAATACACGATGATGTTTAGCAAACTGTCACACTTCACGTTAAAACTACGACATATTTTTATTCTGAAATAATTTAAGATTCAAGTATTTTAGGTAATAAAAACTGAGATGACCTAACCTATAACGTCATAATATAATTTCATTGTCTTTAGAAATAAAAACATAGTATAAACCAATACATTGACACTGTCTATTCGAGTTAAGTCCATTTTCAAATACTAATTCATTTTTTTTCTTAATATTGCCAATCATTCTCCCTGTAATCAATTCATGAAGCTCACAACAAGAAGAATAGAAGTTAGATTGACATTGATGATCAGTAGCAATATTACTAATAGACAACAAGTTATACGATAAATTATGAACATGAAGAACATTGCAAAGGTTTGACAACAGGGAAAGCTTGACAATTCCTATCCTGACAACCCACGAGAGGGAATCATCGAGAGTCTGGACCTTTTTATTGCTTGCACAATGTCTATAAAAGAAAAATAGTTGAGAACAACCCATCATGATTAGTTGTGCTTGAATCAATTATCCAAGAATGAGTAATATTAAGATTAATACTTAACAAAGCAAAGGCCAGAGAATTACTCTTTTGTATTAAAGAGCAAGTCAAGAAATAATAATGGAGATTGAAATAATTTTTGCAAGTGCTCTAATTGCTGGTTGTTGAAAGGGATTGCATTTGAGTTAGCAGAAGACTTTGGAGTTTCTTCAGCAGTGGCTTGATAAGTTTGACCTTTGCGCCTGGATTTTAATTTTCAATTTTAGATTTTTCATGAAGCTTCTAAAATGTCTCTTTCATGTGCCATGATTTTCTTGCAATATTCGCACCATGATTTTTTTTGCCCTTTGTTAGTATCTACCCCTTTTGACACAAGAGCCAAGTTCTCTTGTTCAATGTTACTAAGACGATTCAGTGTTATACAACATAATTTTCTTTCTGGACAACATAATTTTCCTTCCGGATTCTTCACCTCTAACTTCAGAAAAGACTTCTCGAATTGAGGATAGAGGTTTCCTACCAATGATTCGACCTCAAACTTCATCCATACTCCGATTAATCCCGATTAAGAACATGCATAGCTGATCATTTTCCTCTTTGCTTTTATGGAGAGAATTGTCATTTGAACTTTCTCAAATGTCATCATAACATTGATCAAGCTCCTGCCATAATATTACCAACTCATTGTAATATCTAGTAACACCATGATCATTTTATTTGGATTTTTAAAGTTGAGTTTTCAACTCAAAAATTTGCAAAGAATGCTCAAGTCTGAATAGAGATCTCGAACAATCTCCTATATATCTCAAGCGGTGAGAAGAAATAGATAAGGCTTTCCTATGGAAGTGTACATGGAATTGATAAACCATGCCATCACCAGAGAATTCTCGGATCACCATTTTCTCAGATTCAGATCATTAGCAGTAGGTTTTGGGATTTCTCTGGTTAAATATCTATTTTTGCCTTTCCTGTTAATTACCAATCGAGATAGTTGTGTCAAATTTTATAACTTTGAGGTAACGTGGTAAACTCTGAGTAAATTATTCAACCGATCTACCCATTAAGGGAGCTGTCGGGTGAGATATGATGGTTTTGGAATTACTGAAACAGATCGATTTGGTAGAATTTTCTTAAACTTTCATCATCATTGCTGATTTGCGATCAAGAACTACACAGAACTATTGTCGACGGCGATCAATTAACTTTTCTGCATGAGCGGCGTGAAACTCTGCGCCGCAATCCCAATCATTGTTTTTGATCAAGTACGACATTAAATTTTTGTACACTATGTTTTCAAGCAAGAACGACGTGAAACTTCTATACGCTACGATCAATTCACTTCCTTACGCACGTTTGTACCCCACAATCCTGTCATTGGATTCCCAATCAGAAAAAAAGTCGCGAGCCTGAGTCTGTACGCGATCCTGATCTTTGCAGATAGCTCTAATCGCGACTGGATTGCTTCGTTGCAATTTCTACTTGCGATTGGATCTCTTTGCAATTAGCTCTAATCATGACTGGATCGTGATGACTGAGTGGGAGGAGGAGAATACGCGATCGTCATTAATCGATGCCTTTCTTTGAGTGTCGCAATGTGGTCGTTGCCTTCCTAGCAAGCTTTAATTGAGCACCTCAAGGTCTTTGAATGCCACAATCCCGTTATCGGAGTTTCGTGATGTAAGCATTTTTTTCTTAGTGAGCTTTAATCAAGGCTGTGTAGGGGTCACAAAATAAAACAAATAAAACTCAGGCAGAAGATATCGACGAGATTAGGGCTCTGATACCCTTTAGTTTTTGGGAGGGGAAAAATAATTTTTTATCTTCAAATTCATAGAAAATGATTACAATTTAAATAGAGGATGATTTTCTTATTGGAAAACAATAATATCTGCCATAACCCCCTATAATAAAAGAAGGAAACAAGAATTATGACATATCAAATCATAGAAGATACTAAAAATAGGAAATACTACTAATAGGAGATACTAAAAATCCAACAAAAAGCTTATTAATATGCTCAGTAGATGGTAGAAAAAAATGTTGTGGACATGATTGGGAATGAAAATTGGTGAATCTAAGGTAAGATGCGTAGAAGTTGTTTAAAGAGATTTATGATGAATAAATTTAGCTTCTTATGTAGTGCTCACCAAAAATGAATGGCAAGTGAAACTGAGAATTCATACTGCCGACTGTAGTTGGGAGCAGCCTAATGATGACGATGTTAGCTTTTCCTTTTGTTAAATGATGACTCCTGATAATTCATGGATGACAAAAGATGTGAGGTTAATACAAAAATATGTGATTATGTATACTTTCAAATAACATCAATTCTTATTATACAAAGTGCTAATTGGAGGTTTCTTCGGTAGAACTTACTTTTACAATCAAAAGTTATCATTTGTTGATTGTAATGAAAACCTTTCTATTAACCTGGTATATAGATTGGAATAATTTACTGGCAGACTCATATTGATAATTTTTTTGAATGATTATGTAGATAAATGCCATGGGGGTTTATTGGTTAGGATAAATGACCTTCAAGTTTTAATCAAAGTAATATTTTTTCCTGAAGATTTTTCCAAGATAAGAGTTTATAGGATTATTGAGGGACTTCACCAAAAGGAGAGAAAGAGGCATTGATGGAAACTAAAATAAGATAATTTGAATGGCTGAATATTCATAGCTTTATGATGTTCTTCTCCCTTCCCCTTCTTTTTGTTCTTGTTAATGTTTTCCTTCTTCTGCTTTTTTTTTTCTCACTTTAGATTGCATAGAATTGATGTATTTTTTTGAAAATACTTGCCTTTCTCCGGTAGAATTCCTGTAGAGAGAAGTGTCCAAAAGAGAGGAGAGAGAGAAAGAGAGAGTGAGAGCTTTCAAGTGGAGGATGCTTTGAGCAGTCATAAGGGAGAGAACGAATTTGAAGAATAGTAGAATTTCTTTTTAAATGCCTTTGAGAAATCAGATATAAAATAATATTTATTTATAAGCTTTCTAAGAAATATAAAATGTCTATTTTTGATTCAAAATTTAAGCTAAAAAATTAATTTCTATACGATTTGTATGCATTCCCTTATTTCATCCATGGTGATAGGTTTTCTCTAATAACAAGCTAATTATCTTAAATACCCTTCATATTATCATTTTTCTTTAACAAGCTCCTTAAAATAATAATCAACATTATTTCTTGAACCACTTAAATAATAATCAACATTATTTCTTGAACCACTTAAAGAGTGCTTTAGACGAACACCCCTTAAATAATATTAAAATAATATATTTTTAAGAATATGGAACATCAACATGAGGATCTGAGAGAAAATTGCATTTTATACTTTTTTTGTGCTTGTTATGTAGCTTGTTGTGCTCCCATGCAAATTATTGCAACTAACCGTGTGATAGTTTAATATATATTAGTCTAGCTACATCTTGATAGTCTAGGTTTATCGAAATTGTTCTAAACAGTGAAGATTTAGTCTGCCCGTTTTGATTTTTCATTTTGCCCATATCTTCATTTTCTTAACCTAATATAGGTCAGATTAGCCTCTTTCGTTGCTTCGCCCTAATTATACACATGAATTTTGTTGAATTAGCCAAATCCATTACAATGAGAGCGTCTTGGATCATTTAATTTAACGAACAGCAAGTTGGGTAAGTTCATTTGTTAATAATAGTTAACAATTACAAGCATTGATATGGAAGCACACAACTTGTTCATTTGCTTAATGTGTCTAAGGCAGAGTTCCCCTTGAAATGGATCTTTTTTATTTCTTGTGCCATTTCTCCCTACTAAGCACATAAGTTTACATAGATTTGCTATAGCAAATATTCATTGGGTGTATTATCCTTGATGTTCCATCAACTAATTGACAAATTTTTAATTCTCTTTGTAAATTTTTTCCATTTTGAACAAGGCTATTATATATAGAAATTCTAAAACTTTATTGGGCCAAGATGTTTTGCAGATTTAAAATGTAAAGATAATGATTCAGTAGAAGTTGATGAGAACTTAAAGAGCAAAGTACCACTGCAGTTGGCAATTGTTGGACGTCCTAATGTTGGAAAGTCTACCCTATTGAATACCTTGCTGCAAGAAGAAAGAGTTTTGGTTGGGCCAGAGTCTGGCTTGACAAGGGATTCAATCAGAGCCAAGTTTCAATTTGAAGATCGCACTATATATTTGGTAAGATGACAAATCTTTTACATGCCTATTTTTGCACGATTGTTAAAAGCTTCCCTTTTTTTTACACTGACTTTTTATTTTTTCAAAGGCTTTACATGAAACTTATTTTTGCTCTAGTCAGCATGATATCGGAACTGGTAGGGAAAATAGTGGAAACATAAAATAAAATTTCATTAATTAATATTAAAATAGGTTCATTAATATTAAAATAGGATTACAACATGACTTGAACGGAAATAACAACACAAAACATAAAACGACACAAACAAACACTTCTAAATGTATCCCAGTGGGTGGTGGAGGTTGGCTAGAGGGATCAGAATGATTGGGAGGGAGGTTGACAGCCACGGGAGGTGGGGCGAAGGGAAGATGCGAAACTATAGGGACAGCAAGTGGGAAGGGTTGTAGGTGGTCGACAACGGTAGTGTGGCGGTTGGGAGAAGCTGAAAGGATTAGGGAGGCTGGATAACTGTAATAACCTGCAAGAAGGGGGAATGATTGGGTGTCAGGGTGACGAAGAGAGAGTTCGGCGACTGAGTGGTGGAGAGAAGAAGGTTTGGGGAAAGGTAAAAAGGGAGAATACAATCACCACATCGGAGAGGATACGACTGAAGCACTAGCACCTCCTCAAATACAACTCACAAAGTGTAAAAAAACTCCACACATGAATCTGAGAACAAACACAAACACACTGATTCCCAGTCACACAAGGCTAGCAATTTATATACTCTTAAGAAACTTCTACACAAAATAAAATGGTGGGAAGGCGAAAAGGATATAGAAAAACCCTTCCCAAAATTCCTACAGGTGTCGCCCCTACCTCTGTTTGCGAAGGATCGTAGGACATCACATGAGAATTGTGATCCTGCCTCGCCTACAGTTCCCGCGAGACTTCGCAGGATCGAAGCGCCCCATATTTCAACGTATTTAGCGCCCGTACCCGGGCATTGAATTCAACACCCACATCAGTCTCTTGGGGTGAGGGAGCTTCGACTTCGTAGGTCGAAGCTTCCATTTCATCATCAGCCAACTTGGATCCCACTGGCGACAACATTGTTGCCCGAGGTATTTGATGGTCTTCCCCAGCTTGCGATCCAATGTCCATATGGATTTGTTTCTCTTAAGGCTGTGGAACACGCTTACACTGTTGAATCTCCCCAAAGTTATGAGTGTCAAATCGGGTCAACGAGACATGTTGGGTCTGACTCTAAAATGACTTGACTCGAATACAGTCAAGCCGCGCCTGATCTGAATAAGACCTGAACTTGACACGTTTAACCCAAATCAGAGTTTTCACTCTTATTCAGGTCATGTTTATGTTATCGGTTTCAACCCGAAACCGACTTGAAATATTAAACGGATTAAATTCTTTGACTCGAACCTGACTTGAAAAATATTCAACCGTAACCCGGATTTTTCGAGTTGAGTTCGAGTTTTATTGGTGTGTCGGGTCAATTTTTAACATCCCTACCCAAAGTAACCCACGATCGGTTCAAACGGGCTTGAAGTGAGAGTAATCTAACCCTTCTCGCACCATGATGGTGTTGTTGGTACGACGTCGACTTGTCATAACCTCGGTCGTATCTGTCCTATATCTAGGGAAGGTATCTCAGTACTCTTGTATGATTTCATTACTAAAATTGGTCCCACTGACGCTGCTATGCTGATATGGGATCCTATGCCCTTGATCTTCGTCGAAGGAAGGAGGGTGATGCGGTTCCCATCCTTGGTGAAAGAATATGTGTTTCTATTTTCTTCTTGCCGAGTCCTCTGGTCAAAATGCATGTTCGTCCCAACAAAAAGTGGTAGACATCCATATGAACTGCGTCACGCTATAGTTGGTTCTGTAGTTGGCCTCCGGTTGAACTGCAATCGATGCTGACTTGATTTTCCTTTAACTACATCAGTGAATATGGCTGGGAATGTCTCTGCGTCATAAGTTTCATTCTCTCTACCATCTGTGTAGATGTCGGGTTCTTGATGCTTCCACAGTCGATGATTAACCTACATATTTTTCTGTCCACTATGCAGTGGGTGTAGAATATATTGTGGTGAAGCCATTGCAAATTCCTAGTGTCCTAAGTCTGCAGAATTCATCGAATCATAAGCGCCTCTTCTTCATCTGTGGGAAGATGATACTCCTCATCCTGTTCCTTAGCTTTCTTCTCGTCGCTAGATACCCATATCAGTAAGTGAGACTACTCTGTTCGTGGGACAGTTGGAGGCTTTGGCTGTAACCGTGACATTTGAAAAATTTCCTGGCTAGTACAGTGTTGGAGGCGCTACATTTATCTTGCTTCTCATTTGGATTCATACTAGTATTCTTGTGTCTGGGCAAACTAGTCTCTTCCATGGTGCCCTTGTCGATCGCGTGACTGTAGGTTGCTGCTTGCCTGAATGTTGTTGCTTAAAGGATGGTCGTTGCCTTTTTTGCTTTTGTTGTCTTTAGACCTTCAATGCTAATATTTGGACATCCCCTAGCATCCAATTGTTGACCTCATTTTTAGTGAGGTCTAGTTTTTCTCTTAGGATTCTTAGGGACCTCCCTTCGACTATCTTAGAATCTTAGAAATGGGACCCGCCTCGTTTTAGAAATCCAACCCACTTCTGTCCCCTTCTGGAGATTCGCGTGTGTGGTATCGACTTCTAACACTTAGAAGGATGAAATCAACATGAGGAAACCTAAAAGGGATTCCCTATAGGATCTTTAAGCCTTAGGGTGACCTTTAGCACAATTCGCACTCCCGCGCGCACAAACTTCGCAATTCGGAGAGTCGACGCGTGAGAGTCGACGAGAGTCGACGCGTCCGATCGTCACAATTCACATCGCTTGCACTATTATTTGTCGAAGACTCGAGTAAACTTGTCGAGGCGATCGACCATGGGTCGAAGTTTTGTGAAGTTTTAATTTTGATGTGTTTCTAGTCCGATTGTCGACGACGTCGTCCAAGCGATCCCGGATGACAAAACAGACTGCACCAACGCGTCCGGAATGTCGATTTTACCTAGGGAGGATACCCATATTGCTGTGGTTCCACACTCGCGCGAACCGCACGGAAATCGATGCATTTTTAGGTGCGCAGGTCAGGCTCAACCCAGGTCCGACTCGAGTTCGATTCAGGATTGGACTCAGGCTAAACACGGGCTAGACACCAGCTTACCTGAATTTGAAATTCAAATTTCAAAATTCAAATGAATTATTTAAATTTTTATCTTAATTAAAATTAATTCAGGTAATAATAACCTCCCATTTAATCCTCCCCTGCATTTGGAAATTATTAATTTCCCCGCCAATTGCTTCCACGGTAACGGCTATTGGCCCCCCCGCTCCAATTCTAAAAGGAAGGAATCGCTTCTTCCTTCGGGGTCTGACTTCTCTGCCTTTCCCGAACGACTGCTCCTCCGGTTTCTGCTCGATTTTACTCGACAGAAATTTCCTGCTCGCATCCGATCGAAGACCCCCTGCCGCTCGTCTTCCTCCTCGGTCATTCCCGAACGCCTTCTCCTCCCTCTCGGGTACGCCTCGCTCGACCGCTAGCTCCCGTTCGCCTCCCGCACATCCCGTCTCTGCGATCCCCCTCCGCACTTCGCTCCTTCCTCCTCCCGCTCGATCCCGATCGCCTCTTCCTCGCGCAACAAAACC